ACAAAATGAACATGTAGTCAGTTCCACTAGAATTAATATTAGGACGAGGGTAAGAAATTTATATTTAAAAGTGTGAGATAAAAACAGATATGCTGCGAATGAGCCGAGGGCACGAGCAAGCAAGAGAGACAGAGTGGCGGCAGAACTTGTAGCTCCTTGTTTAGTTCCTCTTGTTCCTGGAATTGTTTTTGAAATTTTGTCCAAAACCGTCATAAGTGAGGTTGGCCACTGATGTTGTGCAATAAATCCTGGCTTGTAGTCCGCATTTCAGTTCATGCCAAAGGTGTTATATGGGGTTAAGTCGAGTTGTTCCACATCAAACTGGGAAAAACAGACGTGCAATAGACAAAGATGTCCACAGACCTCTGGCCATATAGTTTAACTGCCTCAACTGTCACAAAGTGATTAAAGTTAATAATGCATTAAATCATACAGTACTTGCAGTTTCATTAGTGAGTAAGCTGTTGCTTTTAAGTGCCAGGATGGGTTTCCCCTCCATCACATGTCATCATCCCACTATTTTCCCTTCTGACTCACTCTAGTGAGAAAATACTGAAATACCTGTGCATTTCATCAAAAGATTTGTATACCACAATTCTACATTTCATCATGGTTGTAATATTTGTCCCTCCACCCCAAAATGAATGACTGTTTGGTTTGTTTGGCAAATGCTGGTGCAAATGATATCTCGTGCAACGCCCATGTAATGTACCCAACAGCAGAGTTTACTGATTGATATTTATTTCCTCACACTGAGATTTCCTCAGCATGAACAGACGAGGGAGATGGAAACTGGGAGAAGCCGAGCACGCTAGGAAACAGCAGGCCCTCACATTAGACTCTATAACAAGGGGTCGCTAGGAAAACTGCTGCAGAAAACCAGGACGACAATTTAAAACCCAGAAGCATGTTAAACAAATACAGACATGCAGTAGATCCACTGTCAGCATTAATACTTGGCCGTTTACGCGCTCGTTATTAGAAAAGAGGCCAGCGTTGTTTTGCTGGCTCTCACTTGCCCGAGGCATACAATAACCTTTTTGTAGCTCCCTTTTTAAAAGTCTATTCAACCAAACTCCTGTTGCCTGTGACTGAAACTAACGATTTGCTTGTAAAAACATACCAATGCAGCCTTCTTTCAAACATTGTTTCTCCATGACCCTCAAGGGATGACACAGGACTGACCCTGAAAGCTGCGCTTAAGTGTCACAGAGTGAAAAGATGATGATTAGCATCTCATTATCTGTCCTCATATTTAATTTAACTCAAACCTAATTTTCCTTCTTTGCGTCAGTTCATTCAAGTCAGATCCCATTTCTGTACACTTGACAGATGACAGAACATGGGGCATGAATGGCTGCTTTGGATTAGTGCAGCCCTTCATCTTCTCATTTACTCCTACATTTGATCTTTATGGCCAAGCTTTGACTTTACAATATGTTGATAGATTTTATGAGAGTAGGCACTGTACTTGCACTGAGAGTTTTTAAAGTGGAGGAAGCATCCTTTGATGGTCTGAAATAATCTTATTGAGGGGACTTCAAATTTCTACCTGACATCTGTCTGCCTGGTCCACATTTAGTTATCAACAGAGCCAAAGATAATTTTATTTCAGTTTAATTTCAACATCCTAAATGTTTTCCATTCAGCTCTCTACACGCCGTCAGAAAAGTAATTTTCCTGACTCATCAACAAAATAAATCACTTAGTAAGTGTATGATTGATTTACAAGACAGGGATTTTACTCAGCACTGACTCTATAGTGAAACCACCACTATGTTAAATCCAACCATTTGATCAGCCAAAACCACAAGATGGGTTGCAGCAGAGAAAGTTGCTTGTAACAAATATTTTTGGAATTGACGTGAGTGTGCAGCTGTAGCCCAGGTAGAAAGCCAACCATTTACTATGGCAGAGGTTTCAAAGTGGGAGGCAGGCCTACTGACATACTGACCCATTGATTCACTGACAAACTGACTTTACCATATTTCCTGGACCAACTGGGAAAACAGCTTCGAGGTACAGGAATGGACCTAAAAAGGTACAAATGCTTTGTCACTCCAGCTGTACCCTAGTAGGGTATGGGGACAGTACCTTTGAAGTTGGTACATTTTTGTACCTTCTGTACCTCTAAAAGAACCTTCCTGCACCCCTAGTGACAAAAATGTACCTTTATTATATTGTATTCATTTAGCTGACTAGGGCAGCAACTAGGGGCAAGTGTCTTGCTCAGGGACACATTGGTGTCTCACAGTGGGGACTGAACCCAGGTCTCTCACACCAACGGCATGTGTCTTATCCACTGGCTCATCGCCAACCCTTTATGCCCTGGTGGTGGGGATCACTGATTTTCTGCATCATTTGCCTGTACCTTAAGCTTGTTAAAGATACAGTTATGTAACCTTTGCTGTCAGCAATGATTGTTTACCTTTAAAAGGGTACTTTTTTGACGAATGTACCTTTAGGGAACATAAATGATACCCCTATTTCTCTGTGTGTACTATAGGACAGATGTGAACAGCTGTCACAAAGTGGCAACTAGGGAATTAGTAATAACATGAATCATTCTTGACAGATGTTTGATGCACAGCAAAAGATCACTGTTAATCCAAACAACCTCAGCATTTTGGTAATATAATATGAGGGTAAAAACGTATATATACAGACAGCTTCACAAGTCAACTCAACTTTCATTTTGCTACTGCTGCATGTGTTTTCAATGCTGGTGCAGGCCATCAGATCAACATCTCATCCATGTCAAAATTAGTGCTCAGATAAGCAACAGCACGTGAAAACATCAGTCAGCACACAGTAAGGGAATTAGCTCAAACATAACAACAATTTGATATTTATATCAAAAGCATCCTGAGAGCTCCTGGCTTAGTTTGAGTAATCAGGTTAGCAAAATGTCTCCTGTGGGGAAGTAATCTACTTTGATGCTCTGTCTGCTACCAAAACATTGAATCTGTGTCAGGCTGAGCAGCTACCACCAGTCCAGCCCACTCTGTAATTCAATTACATTAGTTGACTCATGTCCTACTTAATGTCCATGCAGCCAACAGCCTGATTACAGAAGCCACAAATTGTCAAATAAACATTTAGGTCTCTCAAAACCAGGAGGGTTGTCTATGTAATTTTATTTCACAGGACAGATGAAGTGCAGTACAGAAGTTCAGTTCCCATATCATCTAGGGAGAAATTCAAACAATTCTTCCAACTGAAATTACATTTCAATGAACTCATTTGACCTGGACCCTACCTTATACCTCAACCTAAAGACATTTTTCATAATTTTATTCCTGGAAATTATTAATGCCTTGAATTACAAATGATCATGTATTTTTTCACATTGCAATCAATAAAGGTGGTACATTTAATACTCACATGCAAGCACTTCATTTTGACATGTGTATTATTTCTTTTGTGAGAAAGTCATTGACACACAGTGGTATCACTCTGTTGTATTTACATTCTGATACTTTCTCTAGAATATTACTTTATAAAAGTGAAACTACAATGTGAACACTGCTGGTGAATATGAAAACATATTATTTAATAAAATTACATGTTTAATGTATAGAAAATACAACAATGTGAATGTGTTCGGTTCATCAAACAGAAATAATATAAAAATGTTTTCTATTACTTTACTAAAATATACACACACATCTTTATACTGACTATATTAATTTTAAGAAGTTGTTTTGAATAAGTGTTTAAACGTAACTTCGGACAGCTTTGTAAAAGGTAGGACAGACATTTATGAATGGTATTTAGAATGGCAAAGAATGTCTCCTGAACGGCCACATTTCCAGTTACATATTTGCCAGTTATAACAAAATAAATAATAAATCTAAAATATTCACCCCTGGCCACATTGCCAGTACTGGTGTTTGACCATTTTATAATTATGTACATTTATATTGTCCCAACTCTGGATGTTTTTTCTGTGTATTTTATTATTTGCAGTGACAATCTGTGTTGGAAGTACCAGTTTCAATTGTACAATATTGTTGATGTGTTGATGAGTCTGTTTCAAATTTCAGATAGACTGGAGATGCGGTTGATGTCACTTTTCATCACATGCAGCATAAAATAATAATAATTTTGCATATGTATGATTTTAGATTTAAAAAGACTTCTCCCATAAAGCTTATATTCTTACTCTGGCACACCTTTAGTCTTTTTCTAATATGCTGTGCTTCAATTCTTTCATCTTTGTATGGACGTACCATTATTCTGTCACTAGATGGAGCTACTCACCCACGTTTATGAAGCTTCCTGCAACTTTCATTATGCAAATATCTGACTGAGCTTTATTAGACACCTAGTTATAATTGGGGGATATATATATATATTAGCAGCACAAAGACCACACTGGCATACACACAAATGACAATAGGCTTAAATGACATATTTTAGTGGAACTGGAAGCAACAGTTTATCTGCTTTGATGTGTCAATATCAATCATCATCAATAAGATGTGATTAAAATAATTATAATTATTAGTAGTATTTTTCTTTTACAAACAACAATCTACAGTGCAAAGAATTAAAATTACCCAACAAAAATAAACAACAGGACTTTTTGCACTAAAATATGATTTCAAAATATTTTTACATTGTTACCTATTATTCTTACTATTTTGAAATATTTATCTGATATATTGAGAGCATGTTTTCATAAGAATATCTATCATATCATACTTCTGTATGTTTTCCTTGTGGTCTCTGAGTAACTTTCATATCCTGTGCTCATGAAGAACGTTTTAACTTGCATTAATCTGTTACTGAAGTAATTAACACCGCTCAGGACATGGTTAGCCTACCTGTCTTATTTGATAGACATCCTCTTCCACAGGCGGGGACAACGGGCTACGCTGCACAATGGAAGGGTAAAGGCGGTGGGAGGGCGGGCAGGAGCACCGCTATCCAATGGGATCAGTGATGGGAGGGAGTTTGTCGAACTCCAGCTTTGTCCTAACTTACTGGGACTCCTGAGCACAATATGACTGAAGCGCCTGCACCGTTATTCCACGGGACGGTGCGTAGGCTGAGCCCCCTGCTCTCACTCAGGACCGCTCGCTTGCGCCCTAACTTTGGATAAACTTTTCTTCACGCATATCCAGGAACTTCTGTTTTGTTTTGTCTTTCAAGGATTGTCAGGTTCCGTTTTTAAAATGTTATTTGAGGAGTTGAAATGAAACGTTCCTGATCTGTAGAATCATTCTCTCCATTCAGAGGATTTTTTTTTTCTTTTGCATTAAGACGCAGCGCTGCGCGGATAAAATAACACTTCTGGAGTACTTTGGGACACTGAATAAGTGTGGAAAGAGTATTTGCATGGTTTCCCATTGAGGTTTCTCTGGACCTTTGCTGGAATACAATGCTTTAGTGACTCGTTCAACCGCAATAAAGTTGATGCATCATAGGCATGGACTCTGTCTGAGAAAGGTGGACAGGCTAACTGACCATGGCGCTCACAGGTAGGGGCTTAGGCCGGCTTCATTTGATTTTACTGATGTTATGGACTCTCTCGCAGTACTCAGCATCCAGCCAAGTCCGTCAAGAGTTTCAGGTCCTGGAGGAGCAGCCCATCGGCACCTATGTGGGAACGATAGAGACCAAGCCCAGCTTCACGTACCGCTTCAGCGAGAACCACAAACTTTTTGCAATTAACGGCACCACTGGAGTCATTTACACCTCTTCGGTGATTGACAGAGAGGTTTTGCAAAGTGATGTCATCAACGTCGTGGTGCTGTCCAGCCAACCCACCTACCCCACTGAGGTCAGGATAGTAGTTTTGGATATAAATGATAACTCTCCGGTGTTTCCAGACGCGTCCATTGTCGTGTCTTTTAAAGAGGACGCCAGCAGCGGCAGGCAGGTGATCCTGGACACTGCTACAGATTCAGACATTGGAAGTAACGGAGTTGATCACACCACGTACAGAATAGTGAAAGGCAACGAGCAGAGGAAATTCCGCTTGGATATTACAGTCAATCCTAGTGGAGAGGGGGCATTCTTGCACCTTGTTTCAACTGGAGGCTTGGACAGGGAAGTTACTCCCTTCTACCAACTCCTGATTGAAGTAGAGGACAAAGGAGACCCGAAAAAGTTTGGCTACCTACAAGTAAACGTCACTATTCAAGATATAAATGACAATCCCCCTATTTTTGAGCAAGATCAATATCAAACCAGTGTTTTTGAGGATGCAGCAGTAGGTTCTAGTATTCTGCAGATTACAGCATCAGATCAGGATGAGGGAGCCAATGCGGAAATCAGGTACTTTTTAGATGAAGGGACACCTTTCCAAATTGACCCTAAAGCAGGTACTATTATTATAAAAGAGGGCTTAGATTATGAGAGTAAGAAAGAGTACTCCCTGACTATCCATGCAGTAGACAACGGGGTGCCCTCTCTATCAGGCAGAACAGAAGCCACAATTAAACTTTTAGATGTAAATGATAATGACCCCGTAGTGAAATTTAGGTATTTTCCCACAACTTCTAAATTTGCTTCTGTTGATGAAAATGCACAGATTGGCACAGTTGTGGCTTTACTCACTGTTTCAGATTCAGACTCCCCCACAGCTAATGGTAACATATCAGTTTCAATCTTAGGAGGCAATGAGCAGAGACACTTTGAAGTGCACACGTCTCCTGTGCCCAATTTAAGTCTGATCAAAGTGGCCAGTGTGTTAGACAGAGAGAGAATTTCCTCATACAACCTGACTGTGTCTGTGTCAGACAATGGCAAGCCTATTGCGAGGTCCTCTTTTGCTAGTCTGGTTATTTTTGTGAATGATATCAATGATCACCCACCCATATTCCAGGAAACACTGTACAGAGTAGATATCAGTGAAGACATACCAAAAGGCAGCTACATTAAAGGGGTTTCTGCAACAGATGGTGACTCTGGGCAGAATGCCAACCTGCGCTACTCCCTGGTGTCTGGAAACGCTTTGGGCTGGTTCTCCATCAGTGAAAACAGTGGTTTGGTTACCAGCGCCGCTTTGCTGGATAGGGAAATAGCATCTGAAATTGTGCTCAACATTAGTGCCAAAGACCAGGGGCTGCAGCCCAAGATTTCTTACACTAAACTTATAGTCAACATCACTGATGTCAATGACCAAGTGCCCACATTTACACAAAGCACATTTCATGTTTCCCTGGTGGAGCACGCCCCTGCAGGCACTGAGCTGGTGGTGCTGTCTGCCTCAGATGACGACCTCGGGGCCAATGGAACTATCCGGTTCTCATTTGATGCAGATACTCCAGCCACAGTCCAGGAGCTGTTTCGCCTGGATGCCGTGTCAGGGCGATTAAGCACAGCCGTGGAGCTAGACAGGGAGGATCAGGCCTCATACTTACTCCACATCCAGGCAGCAGACGCAGGCAGCCCTCCTTTGCACTCTGTAGGAAAAGTCAACGTCACCCTGAGGGATATCAATGACAATAGGCCAGTTTTCTATCCTGTGCAGTATTTTGCTAATGTGAAAGAAAACGAGCCTTCAAATTCTTATGTAACCACGGTTTCAGCCACAGACCCCGATTTAGGTAAAAATGGCACAGTCAAATATATAATTACAGCTGGAGACGCTTCCAAATTCCGCATTAATAGCAACACAGGGAAAATCACCACGCTTGAGTCCCTGGATAGAGAGGAGAAAACTGCTTACCAGCTGCAGGTGACAGCTGCAGATGGAAGTGGCCTGCGCTCTCACATCCAGGCCATAGTCACTGTAACTGTCATAGACACACAGGATAACCCACCAGTCTTTAGTCAGAAAGTGTACAGTTTTGTCATGTTTGAAAATGTGGGCATTGGGACAGTTATAGGTACAGTGTCAGCCACCACTGTAGATTTGAACACAAACATTTCCTATCTAATCACCTCAGGTGACCAGAGGGGGCTTTTTGCTGTAAACAGCGCAGGTCAAATCACAGCATTGAGCCAGATAGACAGAGAGGAGCAGGGTTTCTATCAGCTGAAAGTTGTAGCCAGAGCTGGGGAGATCACAGGAGAGGCATTTGTTAACATCACTGTAAAAGACTTAAATGATAATGCCCCTCATTTTATTCACGCTGTGGAGCATGTGAGTGCAGTGGAAAACTGGAGCACAGGCCATGTCATATTCCAGGCCAAAGCTTCAGATCCCGATGAAGGGACAAATGGTATGGTGGTTTACAGCCTCAAACAAAACCCCAAAGGCCTGTTTCATATTCATGAAAAGCATGGCCTCATCACACTGACCGGGCCGCTCGAGATCACCACAAGCTCTTACGAGGTTGAGGTCATTGCATCAGATATGGGGGTCCCCCAGCACACCTCCAGCCTAATCCTCATCGTCAGTGTGTATGACGTCAATGATAACTCGCCAGTGTTTGACCAGCTTTCTTATGAGGTCATTATCCTGGAGTCTGAGCATGTCAACAGCCGCTTTTTCAAAGTTGAGGCCACTGACAAAGACTCTGGTCTTAATGGGGAGATTATGTATGACATCGTTGATGGGAACACAGGTGATGTGTTTGGCATTTTTCCAGATGGGCAGTTGTACATCAAAGCAGAGCTGGACCGAGAGATACAGGAGAGATATAACTTAGTTGTTGTGGCCAAAGACCGGGCTGTGGAACCACTAAGTGCCACTGTCAATGTCAGTGTCATTCTAGATGACGTAAACGATAACCGTCCTCTCTTTAACAGCACCAATTATGTGTTTCATTTTGAGGAAGAGCAGAAAAGGGGGTCACTGGTTGGGCGTGTTTTTGCAGAGGATAAGGACTTTGGCCCAAACAGTGAGGTCAGATATACATTTGAGACACAGCAGCCCAACTTTGAGCTGAACGCCATCACCGGGGAGTTGACCAGCACGCTGCAGTTTGATCGCGAGTCGCTCATGAGACAAAGAGGCGCCGCCATGTTCAGCTTTGTGATCGTCTCGTCTGACCAGGGTCTCCCCAAGCCCCTCAGAGACCAGGCCAAAGTGCAAGTTTACATTCAAGACATCAACGACAACACTCCTAAATTCACCAAAGACATTTACCAGGCCTCCATATCAGAGTCAGCTCAAAACATGACACAACTGCTGCGGGTCTCCGCCTCTGATGTGGATGAGAACAAAAATGGACTGGTTCACTATCACATCCCTGAAGGCAACGAGGAAAGACAGTTTACTATTGATAGCAGCTCTGGACAGGTTACTTTAGTAGGAAAGCTGGACTATGAATCCACATCCTCCTATTCATTGAAAATCATAGCTGTTGATGCTGGAGATGTGCCCTTGTCCTCCTCCTGTATGCTTAGTATTAGCATCCTGGATGAGAATGACAACTCCCCCTCCTTTCCTAAACCCTCACTGTCTGTGGACGTCCTGGAGAACATGAGGATAGGGGAGCTGGTGGCTTCTGTGACCGCCACCGATGCAGATTCTGGTCAGAATGCAGAAATAACGTATAGTATCACAGCCACAAACAACCACGGCACTTTCAGCATCAGCCCCAACACCGGCAGCATCTTTCTGGTTAAAAAGCTGGACTATGAAACTCAGTCATTTTACAAACTCAACATCACTGCAAAGGACAATGGCAGACCACCCCGCTCTTCATCCATTCCTGTGGTCATTCATGTCAGGGACTTTAACGACAACCCTCCCATATTCACCCCTGGCGACATTTTCAAATCTATCCCTGAAAATCTTCCAATCTCAACTTCAGTCATGACAATTACAGCTCATGACACAGATGCAGACATAAACGGGCAGCTGGAGTACTCCATTGTTCAACAGATTCCCCGGGGTAGCCACTTCAGCATTGATCCAAGCACTGGGCTCATCTACACCAATAAGGAAGTTGATAGGGAATTTTCAAATCTGTTCGAGCTGACAATCAAAGCCACTGACCAGGCTGTTCCAGTTGAATTCCGCCGTTTTGCCCTGAAAAATGTCACAATATGGGTCACAGACCAGAATGACAATGTTCCCACTTTTGTGTCCCAGAACGCCCTAGTGGCTGAGCCCAACATAGTCATCGGCTCCATCCTGACAACAGTGGTGGCCTTTGACCCCGATGACGGGGCAAATGGGGAAGTGGAGTACGAGCTCATAGAAGGGGATACTAACACTTTCATCATGGACAGGTACAGCGGAGATATCGTCTGGCCTCTCAGCTGGTACAGTCTCGACTCATGTACACCCTCACAGTGTCAGCCACTGACCACGGCACTGACCGCAAGACCTCCAGAACTGAGCTGACCATCATCCTCCAAGGGATGGATGGGCCTGTTTTCTCCCAGCCAAAATACATCACTATCCTCAAAGAGGGGCAGCCGCCGGGCACCAACGTCATCTCCCTGGATGCCTCAAGCCCGCGGGGCTCAGCAACTAAAGTGGAGTATTTCATTGTGGCGGTTCGCAGTGGTGGAAAAGCAGTGGGACGCCTTTTCACCATTGGCCGCCACACTGGAGTGATACAGACTGCTGCAGAGCTGGACAGAGAACAAGGCTCCGACCTCTACCTGGTGGATGTGTATGCCATCGAGACAGATGCCAGCCAGCCCAGAACACAGCGTGCTGAGGTTAGTACACTGCTGACTTTTCTGTTCTCTACAGGTACTGGAAAGCCACCTTATATTTTGCTCTATTGGCCTATTTGATCTATTTGGCAGGGAGAGGGCATGAACTCACCCACTGGCATTTGTAATAGACATTTGGATGGAATAAGTATAATGAGATCAAGCTTTGAAACTGGAAAAAATGGGGAGTTAGACTGTCCAAGTCACACATAAAACAGAGCCACCTATTGCATTTGACTGCTCATTAATTAAATTCCTTTTTTTTTAAAAACGCATGGCTCTGCATTATATTAAATCATAATTTTCTTGGACATAAGTAAGAAGGCCTTGTTCTTTGGCATGATAACTTTATTTTTCCCATTCCCAAATACATACTAGCCATAACAATTCATCATGAAAGCGCTGCCTCTAATATTTGAGCAGTCTAGAAAAGGGAAATGAGTGCTGCATGTCTTCTGGATGAGCTCCTCTCCTGCTCTCACGAACTGAAATATTCTTATCAGCAGATATGAACTGCACAAATCAAAAAATGACCACTTTTTAATTTCCCCACTGTTGCCATAAATCATTTAGGGCTGCTGTTTCAGGTTCAAGGCCCATCATGGTTTCATCTGAGTCTCAAGTAAAAATGAAAAGGGGAGTAATTGATAATCTCGCAGTGCAGGTATGCATCATCAGTGCCAGTATTATTTTGAGCCCTTGAGCCTCAGGCTGTTTTGGCACTGGGGTGGTCTTTGGGTACCTTTAAACCACCAAGAACAGCTCCACAGGCAATAAGTGACCATTAAAATTGGGTGACCTCTTAAGACTCTGTGAAAAGACGCTGAGGGCAGAGGGAGTGAAACTTAAGCTGGCCACCGAGTTTGCATCATGCGATGCACCTTTTTCAGGCTTTAATTTTAACCAGGACTTGAAATGCTTTGTTATTACAGGGTTTGATGACACACATGCTGCATTTAAGTTGGACTTTTCAGAGTAAAAACCCAAACGGTGTAAACTTCTTCTCCTCTCTAAATGTGTTTTGTGTTACTACGTTTAAAAAATGTCTGATGATTTAAGAGTTTAAGATTAGTGGGATGCCTTTGACAGTTGTTAATGATGCCTTTTCAACCACTGCAAATATTGAAACTGAAATCCAATACAGCAATCAGTTATTTGGAGACAAACTCACATATTATTGAAATCAAGGATTACTTGGCAAAATCGTGTTAGCTAAGTTAACTTAAAGGTTCGTTCAGGCCAAATGGGAATATCAAATGTTCTCTCACTTAGCCTGCAGCAAAGATGGCAATCTGCTTTCCTGCAGACTCTACTGTTGGGCTAATGAGAGAATATAGTGCTTCAGTGCTCCATTCCCAAACCTTAAACTCTATATTGGTTTCATGCTTACCTTGAACTTTCTCACCCCTTGGAGATGACTTTACCATACCACCTGGCTGAGTAGTCTCCATTTTGAGAAGTGTGAGATCTAATAACTTGGAGGAATTAAAATTACCTTCCACATTTGGAAATATGGGCTGGTTTGTGCTGAAATGCAATGGGCAACCGTCTATATGGCTATATTTTTAAGGCAAAACTGAACGTCATATTGATACTATTTGTAGCTCCTCTGTCAATAGGACCTCAAAAGACAGTGTGGTACCATAATGTATGAACCCTCAGACTTAGACTAATGTTTTTCCAGTGCAGTGTTTACACACCAGATACCCGGTAGCAACTGGGGACTATTTCCACCCCAGGGGTTGTGACCCTTTCACATTCTCCATTTCCCATTTTCCCCATTGATTGGATGCATGAGGCATTTTTTCCTCTACTATGCACCGTGTGTGATGTTTTGGAAACACTCAAACAAAGAGAATTTGGCTTTGACATGCTTTATCAACATTCATGATCTTAAACAACTCAGGACGCTGCTGGGCCTGCAATGGAAAGAGTGGAGAGAGGGGATTCTTGGTTTTCCTGACCTTCTTCACATCTTAGAAAGTTTTATTGTCTGTGTTTGTTGATTAGGTCTGTCATGTATGTGCACATCTGGGTCATGTTTTATGTGCAATGGGCATTTATTTTGGCCAACCAGTGGTGGTGCAGTGACTTATAAGAAATTTAGATGATCATATTTTGTTGTCGTTCTTCAAGTGTCACTTTGGAAAGTCATGCAAATTACTTCATTACCCAGAAATCTATGTGTTTCTTCCTCTAGCTGATACAGATACAGAGGCTGAAATAAAAATCTCTTGGCAGCACATTCATCCATTGTTGGTGAATCCAAATTCCATTGAAAGTGTTCAGGAGGATGTTTTTTATTTTACTCCAAGTTTTGATTCAAAACATCCTGCCATGGCTTCATTTAGCCCCTCTAAATGAAGCCACTCCCCCCCATAACTCATACAGAGTAAAATCACACTGAATCACCTATGACAGACTTCTCTCCGAGAGCTGAAAATTTCAAGCATTGGTTCCATTTTTGGCCACAACCTAATCAGTGAAGTGACAGCATGTGTTTCCCATCAGATGTTAAAGACCAAACACCTGCACATCACTGATTGGGTATGAGCAGTAGTGCAATATGCTGGACTGATATTAAGTGCATGGTTATGCACTAGAAATTATTTTTATGTGTGCTAATGTTAAGGGATGTTTTTATATACTTGTCAACACATCTTGCAACTTTATAACAAGTGTAAAGGTTAGAAGGCACAACAGATATTATGTATGATAGGGAAGTCTGAAACACGCTTGAATGTTGAAAGTTTGTGGCTTGGCAGATGATGGCAGGTTTAGTCAGATGAGATTAACAAGATATAGACAGTTAAATTGTAATCCAGTTTTAATGGCGAACAAAAAGTACCAATATGTACATAGAAACCTCTCAAAAGTCCATCAGCAGGTCTTTTGTGACTTTACCTGTTTGGTCTCTTTGGGATCTAAATAGCAGCACAATTATGTTACACAGCTTACAATATGTGTGTTGCTTATGTTATAAGCTGTCATATGCGATCAACGTAAATAGTGTGTATATATATATAGAAGATGTCTCTCTCACCTCCACTATCTGTTTCTTGTCTTCTAGACTCTTCCCTTCACCTGACTCCTCACCTTCAAACCCTCCAGGCACTATAGACCTGACTGCTAAAACTGTTTTCTTTAACTCACTGTGAATCAAAATGAAATGCTGTTTTTTTATCGGAGAGGCGCTCAAGTGCCACATCAGTCCTTGCCCCCTCCTCTTAAAGGCATTGTTCCCCCTTGAAAGTAAACACAGTCGGAGTGTTCAACAGGCCTTCCTTTGTTTTGCCTTCACCGATAAAGTGTTGCACTGCTCCGGGCTCGGATCAGGAGTCGTTTGTTATTTTTTTTGTCTGTGCCAGTGTCTTGCCTTGGCAGATTTAGGAGTGTGCATGGAGGCCCCTGTCAGCCACCTTTCCTCCCCTCTCCTCATCAGTGAGGAACGTACAGTATAGCTGTTTGGAGTTGTGAGATTGAAAAAAGAAAGAAAAGAGTGTTTTAGGGAGGGACATGTCATGCGCTGTTATTGGGAGTTGTGGGAATGTAGGAATAGGAGGGGTGGAGGGGAGGGAAACATTTTAGGAGGGTTCTGGAAGTGCCAGATATAGGCAGTGTTGCAAGGAATCATGGGAAGGTAGAGGCAAGGGCAGGGCTCCTGTTCTTGTACTAAGCAGGTGGGGGGAAAAGCGCTCACTCTGCCTACTTAGAACTTTTGGACATATCAGTCAGGGGATGCAGATAGCTGATGCAGATACAGAAATCAGAGTTGATCTCTGTTGCTATGGATAGCTTGAGCTGTTATATTCATCCTGCTCTTTGTTAAGCTGTATATCTTTGTGTCTTTGCATCTCTTTCGTGTCTGCCTGCCTGCTTTGTGTCTCTGGGAATCTGTTTGTCACTCTCTCTGTGTTGTGGATCGGTCAGATTCATAAATCCTGTTGGCAACGAACTTCAAAGTCACTTTGCTTTTCTTTCTGTCTGTCTTTCATTTTTCTTTCTTCTGTTCAGTGTTTTGGTGACGCTGAACCTCCCCAACATGAACTCTGAGAGACATGTGATTTGGCAGATTCAGTTTTGAGGTTGTAGAGAAGATAGAGAGGGGGGAATAAACCTCTGTGAAAAGTGTAAGACCAGCCAGGTTACCGAGGCAGGGAGGAGAAGGTCTTGTATGGCTGGACAATACGATGTGGATGCTGTTTTTTCTTTGTGCATTTGTCTGTGTGAGTATTAATAAAAATTGAAATATTGATGACTGCAGTTTTCAGACAGGTTGAACAGTGATACTGATACCCCCTTAAGCGGAGCATTTAGTGTTCTTTGTTGAATTAAAAAAATGCTTTGATTAGATTCGAATCATACACAAGCTTAGTATTAGAATTTCATGTTCCTCAGAAGGGACATTTAACAACAACTGGAAGAGGAATGATGCAGAACAAACTGCCTCCTTGTGTATTGTAATTCATGGTCTAATTGCAATTTTTTTGAATGTTTCTCTGCTTTTGCACATGTGCTTGAGAAAGGGTGGTAACAGTCCAGTCCGGCCGTAGCCAAAGTTGTAATTCATGCAGTAATCTGACTGGACACGCGTTTTTGAAATGGTCAGCAAGGAGGTGAGCATCTGCTCAGCCCTCCTGGTAGGTGGTCGCTCCGGGTGAACCTGTGGGCGAGCCGGTGCAGAGGAGCGCAGGTTGTCCCAGAGCGCCTGTCCATTTTACGAGACAGTCACCATAAAAGTTGGATAAACATTCACTCATGCATAGATGTGTGCAAGAAAATGTTGCCAAATGCACACACACACACACACACACACACTGACCACACTACTTCTCAAGAGCAGGAAAACATTAAATGGTAGCCACAATCAAAATAATTCAGTTTCATCTAGATTATTATGATTATTTTACTGTCAAATAAGATCATTGGGATATTTTGTGACTTCTATTCTGCAGATTCATACTGAGCCTTAATGAACCCAGCAATTTATGTCCTTTTATTAC